TTTATTTTATCCCCTTTTCTCTATTTTTCTTCCCTTTTTTTTGTTAATTTTTTTTAAATCTTTTCCTTTTTATCTCCTTTTTTTAAAACCTTCCTTAGGGCAACGTACAAAAGTAAGGCTGAGCTAGTTAGCCCACTTATTATTATTAGCCAACAACAATTCTCTCCTGCCTATAACTTTTCTTTCTCCTATTTTGCAATTGCTCTGTTCGGCTTCTGTCTGTCCCTGCTATCCCCTCCCCCCTTCCCCTTCCCATATGTTTGCTTCTCTTATTTTGCAACTGCCCACTCGCTCAAAAGGAGGTTTTAACCTTCGAAGTCCCTACCACCCACCTGGAATCCCAAAACGTCCACTAGTGGGCAGTAGGGACCAGGTTGATGACCCATGGTTTAAAGAAAAAAATGAACTTATTCAAATAATGCTCACAGCTGGAACTATTTTAAAAATTGTTTCTTATATGTTATGAACCTGTAATAGCTCATATTAAATATAACCTACTAAAATATTGATATCTATGGTAATTTATTATTTTGAGAAAATAATAGAAAAATCTGCTAATTAATAAGGTGCTGGAAACGAACCTAGGTTAAGGTGTGTCTTGAAAATCTTTGAAAATGTTAACTCCCACATCTCTTCTGTAACCAAACTGGAGTCACCACGAATGAGTTCAATGGCCATATCAATTTTCTTAATAAGTAAATACTAACAATATCATCTAAACATGGCTACTAGAGCTCGAGACCATTCTAAAGATGATCTTAGCATCTGGGTAAATTCATACAAAACTGAGTGATCCCCAACTTTCAACCTGGCTCTGAATGGGGAAGTGCCATCCTAACCAAAGATGAAAAAAAATTCCAGAACTGGATCTCAGTCCCCTCCTCGAAATGGCAAACCCATAGCTACTCATTCTTGCTAAATTGTAACCTGCTAACCTTGTAACATGTAAACTTGTAATCTGGATGGAGAAACATCCAGATCCTCACAGCCTCCAAACACTGGACAGAACCAAGACCGCTTCACTGGAGCAATCACAGGCAGATTATATAGGTAATTGAATATTGGAAGGTCTTACCCATTAACTTCAAGTAGATGTTAAACAATATCAGGGAAAGAATGGGGCTTAAAACTAGATCCTTCCCCTCCCCAATACCAACAATCCCTGAGAAAGGGTGAGGACTACTCTAGCACAATGCTTCCCAGTCCCATGAGCCTACCCAGAAAGAAATTATTGTCAATGACATCAGAGTCAGAGTCTGTTGAGAGATTAAAAAGGGCCAAGTGGGGTTCATTTCCCCCATCCTTGGCTTACTGTACATAATCAAAAAGTATGACTCACACAGTCTCAGTATTATTTCCTGGTCTGAAACCCAACAGAGTCCAGATAATTCATTTCCTCCAAGCAGAGGTGGGTTACGTCCAGTATGCCCCGGTAAAGGCATACCAGTGCCTGCTGGGAGCACCAAGTACCATTCCAGTATGGTACTCCGGAGGGCTCACCCGCCCGCCTGCTCTCCTTACCTGTATTTGACCCAACAGGGCCATTTGTGCACACACACGGAGCGTACAGCGCCTGCGCAATGCTCCACTGAGCAGCTGGAGCATTGCAGGCGGAGGATGCGCATGTACATGCTGCACACGTGCCCATGGTGGATGCCTGGCCCCGTTGCAGCGTACCAGTTGCAATGGGTTCCGGAACCTACCACTGCCTCCAAGGTCCTTCAAAGCTACAGCTTGATGACTTTCTCAGCAACTTTTCCTAATAAAGTAAGTAGCAGGCCTGCAGTTACATCCCTTTTAGGATCTTTGGCCTGCCACACTCTCTCTTATTTCATTAAGCTGTTTCATTAGTGTAGTAGTGGAGAGGGGGGAATAGAAAGGAGTAGAATTGTGGAATGTGTTGTTGTCATTCTTTTTTAGAAGCCCAAGGTCATCTTTTGCCTCCGCACCTCTGCACCTGACCGGAACCAGCTGGGTGGAGATGCCAGAGTGGAAGAAGAAGA